TAGGCAAAAATCATTGTGCTGAAATTAAAAATACGATTAGTGGATGAGATGGAAATAATGAATTAATAGGATAAGCCAAAATTCCAATCAAATTAAAGGACTTTTACCGGAAAGGGGACTTATTTTGTAGGTTAATCGTATCCCTTTTCCTACCATCGAAAACATTACTATGGAGTATAACCAAGTGGTAAGGCATCAGGTTCTATAACCTGATGTTCGCAATTTTACAAATATTCACAGATATGTATTTGGCCAGTTTATGTACTCTGCACTTCCCTTAAATTTAGTTGCACTGTGGAGTTTTAATGAATGGTCTCAATGGCAGGCGCATCGTAATCAAATTACTGGTGACTTACTTCCAGAGAAACCACAGCAAAGAGGTATGGTGCTCCATACATCTAAATGATTCATGAAGGTCAATGTATGAGGAGGATAGTTATCAATATGTGTTTGATAGAAAGCTCTGAAAACATGATGCAATTAAACAAATATTTTATGTTCTTTTGTCCATGATAATTGTAACCCTCTTATATAACTTTGTTTAACCGCCTAAAATTCTATCCTACCCCACTTGTATAGAAAGAAGGATGTCTTAAAAAATACAACGTCCAAATGCTTGAATAATGAATCAAATGATGGAACACACTTCGCTAGAATAGCAAGAAACTTATTTCCATTCCTCTTAGAAATTGTTGGTTACCCATTTTAATTTTTTCAGGTTCTTGATCTTATGGTTCGCATGTTGGGATTTTCTGATGAAGACAAGCAAAGGATAGGTGTAGCTCAACAAGGGGCTGGCAAAGGAGTAGTTCGCGGTGTCTTGGGTCTTCCTGGTCGATTAGTAGGTGGCATCATGGGTGGTGGTTCCGCTGAAGCTCCCACAACTATGGCATCTGAGGACCAGGTCGTTATTGCTGTCACTTTCTCTGGCTGCCCTTATTCTCTTTTTGGTGCACGCAGCTGCACATTTTACATAAATGAAAAATTGTTCTTCAAAAATCTGCAACTGGATATCTAAGATCAGAGAAAGGAATTGTTTTTTCATTTTTCATTCTTCTGCTGGGTTTGTGGCAAGGTACTTGTACATTTGCGTATCTGAGCGTGTGTGTTCATAATTCTTCCATAAGGATTAAATGTTTCTTCAAATAGATACCACATACATCTTGTTCCACTTTAAGTCAGGTAAGTTTTTCCGCCTCAGAGCCAATGACCTTTGAAATAAAAAGATTATACCACCTGATTACTCCATATTTGGACTCTTGTACACATCATTTTTTAAGCTAAGTGAAGCATGCTCTTAATGGGATGTTTGGTATATTGATTTAGACCATAGTGGATATGATAAATGAAGAGCAAAAGTTGAAATATTGTTGAGTACTGGCCCAGGCTGTGCACCAAATATATCCCAAGTGTTCTGCATTATTCTTCTTTACCAAAAATCAATATTATCTCTATTTTTGCTACTATTGCCAATTCTAACTGTTGCTGGACATTTTCTTCCAGTCTTTTGCAAATTTGTGGGTTGATTTTCTCCTCAAAGAGACTGTAGAAAGAGAAAAGAGAGAGTCTGCTGATACTGCAAATGGATCCAACAGAGAACATAAAGGAAGTCCAAATCCTATCGGGAGCGTTTCACCTTTGTCAGATCAAAAAGGGGATAATGTTGCCGCTGCTCCAACTTTCTCAAGATCAAACCCTTTTCAAAACCAGAACCGAAGCCCTGAACCATCTCGTGGAAATTTCCTGAAGTCTGAACATTCTGATTCGGAGTTTTCTACGGTACCTCTCACTTCATCCGAAAGCAATTCGAAAATTTCTAGACTGCTTCCAAGATATTGATGATTTATATAAAATGTGTTCTACAATTGGTATATATTTTTTCATTCACCTCTGTGCAATTAGTGACGGTAAAATTTGTTCTTTCAATTCTTTTTCCCTGTATTTTGCACAAGTTGATGACCTATGTTGGTTGATATTTGCTAGCACAATGTTGAGATTGTCACAAACAAGATTGGACATTTGTGTTAGTTAGGTCGTCGAAGAGATCTCAGAGAGTGAAATGTATATAAACATGAAAATTAATACATTATTTTTTACGCTATTGACCCATTATCCCGCCCGTTCCCCTCTCCCTCGCACCTTGCGTGCCTCTGATTCTTATCTGTCTTCTGTGCTGTTGAATTTGAACTGTCAAACTGCAGGAGCCAACATTTTTCAGGTGCCTTTTGTAGAGTAAGCCCCAGTTTGATTGCCATTATTTGAAAATTCTTTGTTTTTACACACTTGTTTTCAACCATATTTATCCAATAAAATATTCTATACACGTAAATTCAAAATTTACCTCTTTTAGCCACACGGTTTCCTAAAAATCACAATTCAAAATATTGTTTATTTCCAATAATGGTCATAAACTTGGACTAAATGAAGCAAATTTTATTGCTATTAAAATTTTGATATGCACAATAATCAGGATAAGGAATGTATTATCTCATTATTGAAGTCGTTGAAGACTTCCCTCTCCCACACTCGCGACTCAAATGTGTATGGCTAACATAAAGGGCCGTTCATAATCGCTAAATCTAGGGTTTTGCCATTTTGATTGAGCAATTAGTATTATCCTCACGCCTCTCTGAATGCAATATCTTAGTGCTTTATGATTCACATCTTTTATTTGATCAATCAAACATCGAAAATATTTTCATTTTAAAAAAAAAAATTGAAAAATACAATGGGAAGGCCAACAAAATTAAATTAGAGTATTTAGGTATCATTATGTTTGTTGAATGAGAACGGTCCCGATCAACTAATACAGAGCGAGGGTAAAACGGTCATTTTACAGTTAGTGGACAGAAAATTATTGCAAGGGACTAATTTCTTCATTTCTGAAACTATAGACATGGTTTTGAGATATATATACACCTCAAAATTCAGGGACTTGAATGAAAATTAACCTACAGCTGAATCTATAAGTTTTGTCAAGGAATTTGACATGATATCAGTGATCATCCATATTTTATTGACGTGATCTTCTGTTTAAATCCTGGTACAAATAAGAAATTATATAAAAAAACTATCCCATATTCAATAAGTATTAAATAAGTTATTTTATTTTATTTTTTAAATCAAACCATAAACATTTCATTAAGATATATTGTCGCGAATAATGAACAATAAAAATCTAGCATACAATTTGTCCATTGAAATGTATTAACAATATGAAAATCATGCAAGGTGATGCGTCAATTGATTTCCATTTCTAAGCAACAACAAGAGCCACAACCCGTGTCTTCTAACTAGTGCTTAAAAAGCTTAAGACTTGACCAGGGGTGGCAAAAAAG